GCTTGCCTCCTTGTGATAGCGTGGATCTGATGCCGACTTTATAGTACTATCTCACTGAAATACCATGCCGAAGGCACCCAGCACAGCATTCCGCCCGGTCACATTATACTGACAACGGGTGAACCAGTTGTTGCCATTCCCCTTAATGCTGAACGTTAAGCAAGGAAAAATAACTACCATTTTTAACAATCCGTATACATTATGACATATTAACAGATGTAGCCTTGCTCAGGCCCCAGACCGGTTTTACTGGAAAGTGACAGCCGATTCAAGCATCTGCAGTTTTAAATGTTTTATGAATTGATTTAAACCTCTTTCTTGATATTCTCATCCTTTCCTCAACAGAAGGCATATTAGTGTATCATAGCACCATCGATAAATGTGAAACAAATTCGTTGTTGATTTTTTTCGTTTTGTTTATTTGTTTGTTGGTTTGTTTTGTATTTTTATTATCATTTATTTCTATTGTATTGATATTTCATACGTTTCTTTTTGTAATGCAAAATGAAATAGCAACCATATAAAACATTTAAAATTATTTGGCTGCATACTTTTAACAAAAAACTGCATTCCCTAAATGTTTAGCTGTGAAAACATCACAAGGTCTGTTAATTTTTACCATCTTAAGTTTTTTTAGAATGAAAACGTTCAGGCCCAAACGACCGGCACAAATACAATATACCTAACATTTGATTATAACATCAAAAACCTTTTTTCGGGATTTGTTTTTTTAATACTTAAACAAAAATCCGTTGATGTTTCAAGTCGAAGTTGTGGCTGAGCCTCGACCGTGAATAAGAGTATTATATGTAAAAGTGCGCCTCAACCGGGTCTCAGGACACGTTAGCGCATGCAAGGTATCGTTTCGGTTTACAGGGACTCTTGAAGTTGAAATTGATTTTTGAGATATTATGAGGCGTCCTTGGGTAGGGGATTAGTCTTGTTAAAGTCGGCCTAGAATTAGACCGTGTACCAAATGAACTGCAATGTATTTCATTCAGCGGAATGTGCACGTTTGCTACATGTCTTTGCTACAATATTCCAGTCGCAGTGATAGTTGTCCGCTGTGAAAAATATTCTCCTTACTTTATGTCATGGTGGGGCGATTTCGTGAATTTAAATTAATACGAGAGTGAACACTCGTTTGTTTCGTTCAGTTATTTTTTATTTATAATATTACGCAAAATTGACAGTGATGCAGTACCGCTACGTTTGTAATTTCCCCAAGAATAGGATACACTGAGAATGGTTATGACCAGCAGAAGAAAGCACAAAGGGAGGTAATTTAATTTTGAGTTGTGACTTTTATCTCATCAATGATATTTTTTTTCGTCTTAATAAAGTAGATGGTGCTGTCTTTTAACATGGTTCCGATAGCATTCTAGAAGCTTCATAAAAGGCCAAATAGATCATCAATGTGTTATAGACGCGGATGGCGGGGAAGGCGAGAAACTGTCACTCATACAGTCACGACATAGTGTTTCATAACTCGAACAAAAGGGAGGTAATTCATTAATTAGATTTTTGCCTGACCTGATCGATACGGGGGCATTCGTCAGTAAGTTAATCAACGGTTTCTTTAGATGTCGTAAATAGCATTATATGGGTGCCTTAATGTTCGAAGAATCGACTTCCATAAGTCTTTATAGTAAACCGCCGGCGGTCGTCTTTGATGTTCACTGTCAAGATTAACTGCAACATATGGTAATTGTGAAATTTTCATTTCATAACAAACACGGCACAATCTCCGTTCACAATGGAGGAATTAAAGGTTTACATTAGTGCAGATACACGTGTAATTCACAAGACTTTTATCCTAGCTGGGTACGGCAGTATTCCTACGGTAAAATAATGTAATGGTTGAGTGTGTCGAAATCATGTTTTCGATTGATTTCAATACCGCAGTGATCAGCTTTGTGGCATAGTTACTGAGTTGATGAATATTTGATATTATAACGTTCTCATCCAATATAATGCTGTCTATTGTGGGACATTTTTCGTTTCAATAATGGGAATAAAGATTTCGATTTAATTGAACATTGTTTCATTAGATACTTTAAAAAAAAAAATGTACAAGATTATAGAGTGTTACGCAAGTATTACACTCATTTCCCCATTTTATGTACCTAATTGATATAATTAAATATTACCTTTCTGTTGTACAGCCCTTACGAAGTACCAAACAAAAATACAGGTACAAACCAAGACCTATCACGTGAATGTTTTTTTCCATTCGGAACCGATAGGGGCTTTCCCTCATATCTATTGTGTTCGGGGACGTGACGTCAAATTCAAACTGGAACGAAAACTCTGCATTTATTTCGTCCTTTACGTTAATAGCTTCATAAAGTACGTTGTGCATTTATATTCGATATCAGGGTAAATTAGCACGCACTTTTTTTTGGGGGGGGGGGGGGGGAGCAAATATTATTACAAAGGCACAAATTTAAACTGCAATCGAAGTGTATATTTCCAAAATTTATTACGGTATGCAGCTCAGTTCGTGCCGTATATTCTATTATGCGCTGTACATGATGGAATATGTCTAAAACTTTGATGCAGGAAAACAAAACTCAAACGACATAGCAATAGGCCAACTGGAGGTCAAACCGTGTATTTATTTACTTCTTTGTCAAAGTTTGCGCTCAATAGGTGTCAGAAAAATATCGCGAAAAATAATAATAATAATAATATTCCCAAAAAACTAGTATCCTGTGTCCAGTTCTATGGAAATCAATTTAAATACCTTCAAACTATAATATTTACAACTGTAGTTAGTGTCAAGTTTCGTTAAATAATGCGTTTGTGTAGAGACAGAATTCGGCGATGTGACTACATGTTCCAGGTATCGTTTTCCCTTTTCAGAATCAAAGCTGAATTCCCATTTCTGTTCTATTAGACCAGGTTAGAAGCTAAAACAAATAGTGTGTCCCCAACACAACCATTTGGACCGTTTTCCTCTCCAAGTTATTCCTTCCTTCCACATGGTCACCCGTAGCTCTCTTGATTCGGCCGTTATCGAAAAACACGTAGATGTCATGCTGTCGTGTCCGAATGTGATACTTCCGCGTTATGGCACTTAAAAAACCTGAACGTACACTATACCACTTACAGCAAAACATGTACAATTGTATACTAGTTCATGGCATACCGTATGCTACATAAATACTCTTTGAATGTGAGAATGTGTTTTGTTGCCAATGAATTGTGTAAGGTGATTTTTGTATGTATAAAAACCCAACCCATGAAGGTAGGGGTAGGAAGGGGAAGCCGGAAAGGAAAGGAGGGGGTCGGTGGTTCTTTGAAATTCTCGTCTAGACCAGGGACGAGCGCACGTGGTGCCAAAAATATATTACCATAGTAACTATGAACCATCAGAAAACTTGACACGTGAATTCAAGTTCACATGAAAAGCTTTCATAGTGGTTTTTATATTTCTCTTACAAACACTGCTAAAGGCACGGATACAAGCGTGTGGAGTACCGATTCTCTTTGGCGAACCCTCATCAAAACGAAACACTACTTGTGCTACAAACGCCAAGCTGACTTTGTTTTTATTAAGCCTGCAAGCAGATACGATCGCGAGGCCAGCCGTTATAAACAGCATCTGAAGCCGTTGGCAAGGAGCGCCAAAAGATGAAGATACTTTGTGTAGAAACAAACCCTCGTTGTAATGATTTCCTACAGCACTTGATCAAAGCTTGGGTGTCTCTGTCGTGGTCTTGTGTCGGAGGAAGATGAAGGAATTAGTCTGAGATTAATTCGTGTTAGGACCTTGCTAAAGGCTATAAAATGGGCCTGCCAAACTTTGATTAAACAGATATGGTCTTCACCAAAGTGCAAGATACATTTAATAAAAAACGTAAACGAAATTTGCTTTTTTTCCCCTCTCCCTCCTTTTTTGCGTTGATATGAAGTTTTAAAGTCATCAATACGGACACTCGACTGTAATTAGTGATATCACGTTTAATAACTTGCAATAACCAGGGATTTCGAGGAATTTATATTTTGGAGGATATATGTGCGTGTGTATGTTACACTAATGTACAATGCTTCTTCTCTCGAAAATAGTATCCACTATAAACCTTTATTACATACTTACTAATAAATATGGGGGTTTTGTATATGCGACACGGCACAATTGCTCTAACCCATATTAGCCCTCGCCGTATCACACCCCAAAAGCCGTATCAGCTCCCGCCGTATCACACCCCAAAACCCGTATCAGCCCGCAAAACCTGTACCACACACCCTTTATATATTTTTTGATTTTCAATATTTCAAAAGAAAGATAGATCATCAGATAGTAGCTTTTATTAGTAAGTATGTAATAAACAGAATAAAACACGCCTTTTTCCATATCACACCCAGTATCAACCCTCGACCAATATCGGATTGATACTGCACAGGTGTGATATGGAAAAAGGCATGTATTATTCTCTATTTAACATACATTTTCTATCGAATGTTATCTAGACTACAGGCACCCGATAATGTGTTGCCTATGTTTGGACCTAAACTGACGTGTATTAGGCGTGTTAAAGGTTCATGTAGAACATTGCTGAGATGGTGTTTTTTTTACTGAGAATTGATTAAAATCCATTAAACCTCTAGTAGTATCACTCTGCATACAATAGTACAAGTCCAAAAATGCCCACTGTGACAAAAGCTCAGGTCTTTCTGGACTTAAGGGACAGAACTATACACAAAGATCTTTGTTATCTTTCAGGAAGCTATGGGAAAAGTGTTACATGTTGAATGGTGGCGACATTTATTATGAAGATGTTTCAAATTTCTGTGTATGTCTTTTATTCGTGAGGAATGAGCTTATCAAACATTAGACGACAATAATCACTATAACCAATCCGACAGGACATTTTAGGCAAAGAAAACAAAAACATTAGTCTGCAACCGAAAGTGAAAGTACAAGTACCGATCCCTGCCACGTTTGGTACAAATATGGCGTTGCGACTCCGTCACAGAGGCGCTTTGATACGTACCTGTACATTCTGTGTCCTGTTCCGGTGTACAAGCTTCTGTCTCCACCTGATTTCCAACACACTTAGAGCACGGCTTACATATAGATATTGCACTAGTTTTATCCGAGAACGTTCTATTACCGCATCCCATACACACGGAATTATGGGTACCTGTACAAGGTCGTAAAGCCCCGAATCCTTTTTTACACGAATCACATATTTCACATCCTTTCTTACTCTCGTCGTAATAGAAGTCTATATTACACACACAAACTGTGTCGTGGGTTCTATTACATTCCGTCACAATGTGTTCGTTCATCTGACAGGAAGTACAGGGAACACATATCTGCGCGTGCGCATTTGGTGACGAATACGTTTCCCCCAGAACACAAGATAGACATTCAGTTGCATTATCACGTGTACACTGATTAACCAATCCAAATCCTGGATCACATTTACTGCAACATAGATCTGTCGAATTTGATTCAAACTCGTCTGATGAACAACTCAATCCAGTAACCAGGGGAAGTATCTGAAATATAAGCAAATTTAAATAAAACTTTAATGTAAAATGTAAAAATATATGAAACGTTTACCGAAATCATTGTGAAACGGAGCATGATCTCCAAGATGTTAGTCAAGCTATTTAGAAGGAAAGACCGCACTACAGTCCCCTCATATGGCGAGATATTTTTAACATCGCTGATGACTTTTCATTATCGCATCAGTTTCATAAACAGTGAACATGTATATAGTATATAAAAAAAAATGATTCCAATCGACCTAGCGATAATTGTATCAATGCTTGTCCCTTCTAAGACTCTGCGACGCCGGGAGTCGAACCTGTGCCTATATAGGAATAAGTTCACTTGAATTGAATTTTTCCAGTTATCACACCTGGAATGCGTTAGCCAAAGCTTCGTCACCATCCCTTATATTAGTACAAGTAATGTATAGGAAATCGTTTGCTTGACGGATATACCGACGGATATACTGGGGACAGAAAATAGTAATTATTTCCTTGAGACGTATAAATAAAAAAAAAATAGTGAAAATCTAAGTGATGCACAGTAGATGTAACACTAGCAGGACAGTAGATATAACGCTAGCAGGACAGTAGATATAACGCTAGCAGGTCAGTAGACATAACGCTAACAGAACAGTAGATATAACGATAGCAAGGACAGTAGATATAACGATAGCAGGACAGTAGATATAACGATAGCAGGTCAGTAGATATAATGCTAGCAGGACAGTAGATATAACGCTAACAGGACAGTAGATATAACGCTAACAGGACAGTAGATATAACGCTAGCAGGTCAGTAGACATAATGCTAGCAGGTCAGTAGATATAACGCTAACAGGACAGTAGATATAACGCTAACAGGACAGTAGATATAACGCTAGCAGGACAGCAGATATAACGATAGCAGGTCAGTAGATATAACGCTAGCAGGACAGTAGATATAACGCTAAAAGGACAGTAGATATAACGCTAAAAGGACAGTAGATATAACGCTAACAGGACAGTAGATATAACGCAAGCAGGACAGCAGATATAACGATAGCAGGTCAGTAGCTATAACGCTAGCAGGACAGTAGATATAACGCTAAAAGGACAGTAGACATAACGCTAAAAGGACAGTAGATATAACGCTAGCAGGACAGTAGATATAACGCTAGCAGGTCAGTAGATATAACGCTAGCAGGACAGTAGATATAACGCTAGCAGGACAGCAGATATAACGCTAGCAGTACAGTATATATAACGCTAGCAGGATAGCAGATATGACACTAGCAGAGCAGTAGATATAACGCTAACAGGACAGCAGATATGACGCTAGCTGGACAGTAGATATAACGCTAGCAGGACAGTAGATATAACGCTAGCAGGGCAGTAGATATAACGCTAACAGGACAGTAGATATATCGCTAGCATGTCAGTAGATATAACGCTAGCAGGGCAGCAGATATAACGCTAGCATGTCAGTAGATATAACGCTAGCAGGACAGTAGATATAACGCTAGCAGGACAGTAGATATAACGCTAGCAGGTCAGTAGATATAACGCTAATAGGACAGCAGATATAACGCTAACAGGACAGCAGATATAACGCTAGCAGGACAGCAGATATGACGTTAGCAGGACAGCAGATATAACGCTAGCAGGACAGCAGATATAACGCTAGCAGGTCAGTATATTTGCTTCCAGGTCCGCTACCATGCTACCATATGACGCGCGCAGAACAGTACATGTACTGTACATGTAGATCTGTTCGCTAGCAGGACAGTAGATATAACACTAGCAGAACAGTATATACATGTAAATGACAGTAAGTGTAGTAAATCTAACACTAGAAGTGTTGATATAAAATGCAGTCAACATTTGCACAGAACACCGCCTACTCCACATGAAATGTTTAAAAATAATAAATATAAAGGGTATTTTACTAATATATCTGTTTGCTTGATCGACAGTCATTGATGATGTTTTTATTGACAGGGTACGCTAGACATAAAAGAGTCCCAAAGGACCTGTACAAACGTCTACTCTCAATACAAGCACTTAAGCAGAGTTTACGATACTTTCATTAACGACGGATCAAAGAGAATTTCAAAGGGAGATAACTTGAACTAAAGTATTAATTATTAAGTGGTCATGAGAGTCAGTCTGCTGTATCTCCTGTGCGTTTATTTCACAGTGACACGCACGCACTTCTCCGTCGATATCAATACTTGCATATTCAAGCTCGCTCTAGACGCTGACTATCTATACGCTGACATGCACAGGGGCCTGAGAAATAAGACGCGGAACGATTTTGAGACTTTTCTTGATAGGTACAGGTAGGTTGTTATTAGAGGTTGATTCACCTTGCACATGGCGCCTAAAACGTCTTATAGTGCTCTACAAACACCAGAAAACGTATCAAAGTTCATATTGTGTTTTCATTATAAGGTCCCTTTGTAGTAAAGTGCATTGTTGCTACACATAAAATGACCAATTGACGGACATCGTTTGATAGACCGTTTTGTATCTATCGTCATAAATATGTGTTTCTATGTGGAAGTGGGGCTACGGTATTTCGAACTCGAATAAAACGTTTTTCCCTTTATGTCGAATCCGTCTATGGTTCCAAATTCTTTTTTTTTTAAATGTATGTACGTAACTTAGGATATAACACGATGTTCCTTTTCCGATTCATATTTACAAATAATCATAATAGATGGTACATGTATAATGAATAAGGTGTTGGAATGATATATAATAAATGGGTATAATCAAATGGTAATAATGATTAATTATCCAACAAGCTAATCCAAATGAATGATTAATTATCCAACAAGCTAATCCTAATGAAACAGGTTGATAGAAACAATTCTCAAAAATAATTTATCTCTTAAATTGAGTGGTGTTTTAGCATCACGCTCGCGTCTACGGAGACAGTGATTCTGCGTGGTACAGTATATATCATCCTCGATATCCAGGGGTTTCGTTCATTTTCTCTGAGTGAGGGTAACCCCGGGATATCGAGGATGCGTATATGTAGTCTGGCTGTGTTGTTAAAGTGTCTATTCGGACTGAGTTTTAAAGATAACTCAGTTGTTATTTAAACTCCGTAAAAGTGCAGTTCTATGTGACTGTGTATATACATATGTATTGGAGTGCTATAACCTACTTCACAACAACTTGGTAAACAGCATTTTTTATTCTGTCAACTAAACGCAATCTCAACCATTGATGTAATGTCCAGCTTTGTAAAAAAAAAAAGGGGGGAATTTCATGAATAAAATTTCATTAAAGTATCAAATATCAAAATGTATTAAAAATGCATGATATGCTGATAGACTGTCAAAGAAATTTACATAAACTTGTATAAACTAAATATTATGTCCCCGTCTACTGGCCATTTACTGCATGTACTGCAGCATGATTTGTAACTCATCAACTACACATAAAAGTACATATTGGGATTGTATATCCGATAAGAAGGTCATGGTCACTTATTTTCCTTCCTGTGTGTACATGTATGTCGATTGACAAGGTCGACTTGACACACAGAGGTCATCAACACTTCGTAAAAAACTGTTCAGCTCGCATATCTTACCGTTTTGAATTATTACAATAAATCTTTTTTTTTTCAGTTTTCAATTAAACATAGTCTGACTATAAGACTATATTTAATTATTTAAATATATTATTACTCCTATAGTGAGATAACAGCTAATACAGGGATAAAAACACAATATATGTATGAACAAAAAGATAAGGCAACAGGCCAATCAATCAGAATATATATGAATTAAACTTATTTATTTTTAATAGAGACATATGACATTAACATTTCTGAAAAGAACATAGCGAGCGGTAACAATTACAATGGAATATAATATCGTTGTGTTTTTTTATGTTTTTTCAAATAGTAATTTTTCATTATCATTATAGCACATTGTATGAAGATATATGTATATTCAGAGACATATTTAAAGTCAGATTTATGTAGTTTATGATATGTGTCTCTGGTATATTCCATGCCAACTATAATATTTTAAAGACATGATTTATTTTTCCTCAATAACAATATCGTGAAACAATGAAGTTTGGAAATTTTCAACATTTTAATGTTTGTTATGAAAATATTTTTTGATTTGTTCTGATGAAAAATTCTTGAAAATATCCAGTAACATACGAATATCAAACTGAAATCGATTATCCTGGGTAGCCATTTGATAGATGTAGATTGTTGAACCCACAGCTAGCCATATATGTAGCAACCCTTATACAACAGCTGACCATCGTCAACGAATAATATCGGGACATTTATTTGTGACATTCCCTTACAAAAGATGGCCATGTGTTTTAAATGTACAACTCTCTGTGGTCGTTAATTCGCTGAGCCGGAGCGAACAGGAACATAGCATTAGTAAGGTAGGGCCGGTGGCGCTACGATAAACTCAGACTCTCACCACCTGGAACTAAATGTGTTTAACAAATTATGATGTTCTCTAAGTCATTTGTAAGAGATAAATGTGTTCGTCTGTGTAAACTCTACCCCAGGGTCATGCCGGGTCGATCACACTCAGGTGAGACTTCTGTTGTTCAGATACCCGTCTTTACACCTTACAGGTATTCACACCTTGAGCGGCGAACATCAAAGGAAAACACAGGTAGATTTGAGGTTTAACGACAGACTAAAGTGTTATTATTAGACAATTATCAAATTATAAACATCGCCAAAGGGTCGATACACACGCTAACAGCCACAAATGTATAAACAGGAAACAGGATCTGTTATTAACTCGAGTCATAAATTGTAGAAAACTTTTAAATGAATATATATATGTGATATACACACACTTTATATACAGATATACAGGTATGGTGACGTCAGCTCGTCCCTTTGTGCACCAACTCATTTGTAAGCCAGTCGCTTAATTATTTATTATTTGTTTGAAGCCTACAAGCAATAAATTGTCACAGCTGCAATTATGAAAAGTAAATATGTATGAATTCACTTTGATCTGCATCCTA